ATACCTGTTCCTGGGCTCTAACCCAAATTTGCTCATTTATTCTTAGGGAGTGGGCCCCAGGTAATTCTGAGGTCCACCTCAGACAATGTTCATAATTTTTGAGGACTACCTTTCTACCAGGTCCTTCTTGCAACTCTGCTTAGGATGCCTATCCTCCATTACCTTCTCTCCGCCTCCCCTACCCTCAGCAACTACATGCACCAACCCCCCACCTGGAGTTCTCCTGAATACAAGATGCTGTTTCACACCTCATAGCCTGAACATGCTGTTTTCTGTGCTTATGTGTCCTCTTCTTATTGTCTTTTAAACTTCCACTCCATTAAGAGTCAGTTCAAAAGTTACCTTTGCAAGGTTTCCCTGGGCCTATCAGGTAAGAGTTAGGTGCTTCTTCCATTGTACTCCAATGCCATTAAACTCATACCTCTATCCTGGAATTAGCCAGGAAGTCCCCAGAGTTCTCTGACTTATCCATCTTTATAAACTACCGAAGATCATGCCTGATGTGGAGTGGCAGAGACTCTAAACTCACTGTTTGAAGGGACCATGTATTCAATATGACCAAATGACTGGGGTGAAGTTCCACAGTTCTCAATGCTATTGAGGTGGTAGATCATGTTCATAACTTCTATTAGAAAACAGTTTTTTAGTAAGTGGATGAAAGAAAACTATTTGGTCACTTTTTCTTCTTGCATATTTATTCCTTTTTTTTTCTTTTTTCTTTTTTTTTACATTTTGAATAGGCAATACATGCCCTTGGTACAAAATTCAAAGGATCCAAGGTAGCCGGCTGTGAGATAAGCCATGCCTCATCTATGTCATCAAACCCTTGAATCCCTTAGAGGAAAGCAGTCACTATTACAGTTTCTACTGTGTTCTTTCAGAAATATTTTATATATTTATCTATCACTATTTAGCAACTTGCTTTTTTAAACTTTGTGATCTTTCCACATAAGTATACGAAAAGCAGCCTTGTTTTATAAACAGATGAATACTATTCAACTCTATGCATATATCATGACTTTTTAAAAAAAAAAAAAAAATAAGACATCACTTGATTTAGGTTGTTACCAGTATTCTCTTACATAAATGATGCTGCAATATAAGTAATTTCACACATGTAAATATATTCGTAAGATAGATTTCTAGAAATGAAATGATAGGATTAACGGATAGTAGAAAGTTTTTTCAAAATGGTTTTCATAAAGATTACACCCATTTTCACTCCTACTAGTAACACATGAGGATACGTTTTTTTAATATTCTGCCAATAGTGTTTTTCCTTCCTGAGGTTCTAAAATGGATAGTAATGGAAACCTTTCAAGTAAGTGTAGGCTCATCTACTGGTCTAATCCAGGAGTAAGAATTTTTTTTGGCAGAAAGTCAACACAGATGCCCGCTCTATAGGCTCTTTTCTCCTCTACAGGCAGGCTGGCACTGGGGTATTCATTACTGATCTAACCGCAATACAGCTTTGAGCCCTAGAAGGCTTAGTGAGTCTTGAGAATAAGTTCTACTCTGCTCTAAAGTAGAAGACATCCCATTCATTCGACAAATGCTTACTGAGCGTCTATCATGCACTAGGCCCAGACATTGTTCTAGTGACTGAGGCTTGAAGAATAACGAATAAAATAGAAGTCCCTGCACTCATTAAGATTATAATGCCAGGAAGCAGAGAGTAAACAATACACCTGTAACATATATGGTATGTTAGTTTATGATAAGTTCTGTAGGG